GCCTCTGCCCTCTCTCTCCCCTTTGTTTCTCTCGGTTTCTTGCGCTCCCCCCGTCTCCCCCGGGCCCTCTCTCTCTGCCTTTTCCTGCCCCTCCCGTCCGCGGCCTCCCCCCTCTCCTTCCTCTCCCCGTTCTTCGCCCGCCCTTGTTTCCCTCCCGCCGCCTCCCCTTCTCCTTGGTGGCCCGTCCGCTGTCCTCCCCCTCTCCCCCCGGCCGCCCCTTTTCCTCCCCCTCCCCTTCTGGTCTCTCCCGTTCTCTGCGGGCTTTTCCCCCCCCCCCCTGCCGCCCTTCCCCCCTCGCCTTTGCTGTCCCCTTGCCGGGCGGCTTGTTTTCCCCCGTCTCTGGCTTTCTTCCGCTTCCCTCCTCCCTGCTCCCCCCCCTCGCCGCGCCCCCTTCCGGTTGTTTCCTCTCCCCCTCCTCTTCTCGCTCCCCCTTTCGGCCCGCGGTTTTCCCCTCCCTTTGTTGCCCCTCCCGCTTGCCCTGTGCCCCTCCTGCCCGCCTGCCCGCCGTGCCTCTTTCTTTGCTCCCGGCGCCCCGGTCTCCTTGTCCTCGCTTCCTTCTTTTTGCGTCCCTCCCTTGGCCCCCCGCCGGGCCTTGTCTCTCTCCCTGTTGCCTCCTGCGTTTCTTTTCGTCTTCCCGCCCCCTTTCCCGCCCCTGGCCTTGGCCCCCTTCGGCCCTCCCCCGCTCCCCCCCTCCCTTGTCCTTCCTGGCCTTCCTTTCCTCTTTCCTGGCTTCTCCCCCTCCGTCCGCCTGTGCCCCCTTTGTGGCTTGCGCGCCTGTTTCCGGCTCCTTTTCGGCCCCTCTGTCCGCTTCTTGTCGCTCCGCCCCCTCCTCCCTCGGCCCTGCTGCTCGCCTTCTCCGCGTCGCCCGTCTTCCGGTTGGCCCCTCCTCCCCTTGCCCGGCTGCGGTCCCCTCCCTCTTCCGGCCCTGGTGGCCGTTCTTGCCTTGGTTCCGTCTGCCTCGGCTCCGCCTCTTGCTGTCTCTCCTGCGTTGGTTCCCCCCTTGGTTCGCCCTCTCGTTCCGGCGGTTGCTGTCCGTCCTGCCCTGGTTCTTCCCCCGGCTGCTCCTCCCCCGTTTGTGGCCTCTCCCCGGTCGGTGGTCTCTCTGCCGGCCGCCCTCCCGGCGCCCTGCGGCTCCGTCCCCCCCCCCGCTGCCGTCGCCGGTTGCGCGTCCCTCTGCTCGCCGGCCGGCCCTCCGTCCTTCCCCGCTCCCTCCCCCTCCTCCCGTCCTCTTCCCGCCCTTTCGCCTTCCTTGCTTCCCCTCTCCTCGTCGTCTGCGCTGGCCCCTCGCCCCTCTCCCCTTCGCCGCTTGTGCCTCTCCCCTCCCGCCCGCCCTCCTCGTCCTTGGGTCCCGTTTCTTCTCGTGTGGGTTCTCTCTCCTCCCCTCCGCCGGCCCTCCCTCCCCCGCCTCTGTTGCCCCCTCGGTTTCCCCCCTTTGCCTCCCTCCCCCGGTGTCTTCGGGCCCGCCTTGGTTGGCCCCGGTTTCCTCTCTCCGTTGCCGTCTTCCGTGCTTCCTCCCCCCCCGCCTTCGGCCGCTTCGCGTTGCTCCGCCTCCTCCGCCCCCTCTCCCGCCGGGTCCGGTTTCTTCTTTCCGCTCCCCCTTTTGGTCCGGCGCCCCCGGCCTGGTGTCTTGGGCCCCCCTCCCCTGCTCTTGCCGCCCCTTCGCCCCGGCCCCGGTGCTTGTCCCTTCTCCGTCTCTCTCCCCTCGTCTTCCCCCCCCCTCTCCGCCCTCCCTCTGTGTCTTTTCCTGTTCCCTTGGTTTTCCCCTTCCGCTTTCCCTGCTTTCCCGGCCTCCCCTGCTTCCTGTTTCTGCTGCCGTCCCTCCCCCTCGGCCCCTCTTGCGCCGTCCTCCCTCCCGGTGCTGCCCTCTTTCTGCCCCGGTCTTGTCCTCTCCGGCCCCCTCTGTCCGTCTGCCTCCTTTCCCCCCCGTTGCCCTTCTCTTGGCCCCTTTCTTTGCCTTGTTTGTCTGCTTCCCCTTCCTGCCGTCCCGCCCGTCTCCCCGTCCGTCTCGTCTCGCGTCGCCCGTCCTCCCTCCTTTCCCCCCCTTTTCCTCCGCTCCCGGGCGCTCTGCCCTCCTCTCCGCTGCCCCCCCCTTGCGGCCTTGTCGTTCCTCCTCCCCCGTTTGGTGCCGTTTTGCCCCTGTCACGCCTTGTCCCCTGCCTCCTTCTTTCCTTTCCGCCGGCCCCGCCCCTTCGCCCCTGTCCCCGTCCCCCCCCCGTCGCCTCCCGCCCTCCCTTGCTCTTCTTGGTCTTCCTTCCCCCGCCTCTCCGCCGGGTCCCCGTCTCGCTCCTGCCCCTCCGTTCCTCGCCCCCTCGGCCCCTCCCCTGTCTTTTCTCCTGTCCTTCCCCCCCCTTGTCCCCCCTCCCTTGCCCCCTTCGCCCGCTTCGCCTGGTGCCGCCCTCTTGTTTCCCGCGCCGCTGCTCCCCTCCGTTCCCGTTGGCTGTCTCCGTTTTGTCCTCTCCTGCCCCGCGTTTGCCCTGTGGCTTGTTGCCCCCGCGTCCCCCCCCCGGCCTTCGTCTTCCCTTCTGCCCTGTTCGGTATTACGCTCGCCCCCCCGCCGCTGCCCTGTCCCTTTTTGGGCCCTCCCTTTTGCCCCTTGCTCCCCTCTTTCTTCCTGTGTCCCTTCTTTTTGCCCCGCCCCCTTTTGTCTCTTCTTTCCTGTCTGCTTTCGGGGTTCGTTTCCCTTCGCCGCTCTGGTCCGTCCCTTCGGCCTTTCCCGCTTTTCTTTCGCGCTTGTTGTGGCCCTCCCCGCCCTTTCCCCCCGCTCCGTTCCCCTCGCGTTTCCTCTTGCGCCCCCTGGTCCTCCCTGCTTGCTCGCCCCTTCCTCTTCCTGTGTCTTCTCGGCCCTTTTCCCGCCGCTCTCTCGCTGCTCGGTCTTTCGTGCCCCGTGCCCCCCCGGCCTCTGGCCCTCCTTTCCCCCTTCTTCCCTTGTGCCCGCCCTGTCCCTGCGTTCCCTGCTGTGTTTCCGCGTTCCCTTGCCCGTGGCCCGCCGCCCCTTTCTCCCCTTCCTGCTTCGCGTCCTTGCCCCCCTTTCTTTGCTTCCCTCCGTTCTCCTCGCTCGCTTTGCGCCGGTTTTCGCTTTCTCCTGTCCTCCCCGCCCCCCCGTTTTCTCTGCCCTTCTTGCCTTCCTGCCGCGCCCCCCCCCCCTTGGCTTCTCCCCTGTGCGCGCCGCTGCTTTGGCTTCCCCGTGCTTTCTTCCGTCCCCTCCGGGGGTTCCTCCTTGCGCCCCCCGTCTCCCCCTCTCCCTCCTCTCTTGCCCGCGCCTCGCCTCTTTCCCCTCTTTGTGCTTTCTTCCTTCCGGCTTGGCCCCTTCCTTTGTGTTTGGGTGCCCGGCTGCGTTGCTGTCCCGCCTCCCTCTTCCCTGCTTGGTTCGCCTTTTCGCGGCCCCCCCCCTTCGCGCGCGCTCCTGCCGTCCCTCCTCTTCCCCTTGTCCCCTTCTGCGCGCTCCCTTCGGCTGCCCTCCCCTTGCCTGTGGGCTCCCTTTTTCCGCCTCCTGCCTTTCCCCCCCTGCCTGGTGGCCCGGCCTGGGTGCGCTTTCCTTTTTCCCCCTTCCTGCCCACCCTCCCCCCCTCTCTGCCGCTCCCTCCTCCCTGTGGGCCCCTTCTGCTCCTCGTCTGGTCTTTCCTCCTCCTTCCCCCCTCCCCCTCTCCCCCTTGCCTCGTGGGCTCCCTTTGCCTCTCCCGCGCGTGCCTTCCCCTCTGCCTTCCCTTTCTGTGCGTCCCCCTTCCTCTGTCCTTTTGGCCCCCTTCCCGCTGCTTGGCTCCTCTTTCCTTCCCGCCCCTCCTCCCCTTCGCCCGCCCCTCCTCCCCCCCGCTTCCCCCCCCCTCTGCTCGCCCTCCTTCGCTCTCCCCGGCCCGTTGGTCGCGCCGCCGCTCGTCCCCCCCCTCCTTCGCCGCGTCGCGTCGCCCGGGGCTCTCGCCCCCGGCTTTTCCGCCCGGGCCCTCGCCCCTCTTCCTCCCCCCGCCCCTTCCCTCCTTCCTGTGTTCTCCTTTTTGCCGTCCCCTCGTTTGCGCGCTCTCCCTGTCGTTTCCCCCTCTGGCTCCGGCTTTGCCTCGGGTCCCTCCGCCTTGTTTCTGTCCTTTCTGTGCTTTCGGCCCTTTCTCCCCCCGCGTGGCGTCCTCCTGCCGCTGCGTCCCTCGCCTCCTCTCCCCCTGCCCGGCCCTCCTTCCCCTCCCCGGCCCTCCTCGTGCCTCCCTCTCCTTTCCGCCCTCCCCGGCTCTCCTTTTTCTTCCTGCCCCTGCTTTTCTCTCGGCCCTCTCCCTTCTCCCCTCCGCTCCTTCTTGCCTCCCCGCTCCCTCGCCTGCTCCGCTTCTGCCCTCTTCCTCCCCCCTCCTCCCCCCTTCCCTTGCCCCCTTCCTCCCCTTTCCCTGCCCCCTTCTTCCTTCCCCTTCCCTGCCCCCTTCCCCCTGCCTCTTCTTCCCGTTGCCTCCTCCTTTCCTCCTCGCCTTCCTCCCCCCCCCTTGGCTCCTTTCCTTCGCCGCCGTCCCTCTGCTGCCGCTGTTCCTCTGCCTGCCTTGCTGTCGTCCCCCTCTCCCTTCCGTTCTCCCCCCCCCCCCCCGCCCCTCCTCCTCCTCTCTTCTTCTTTTTTTTTCTTTTCCTCCTGCCCCGCCCCTTCCCTTGCCGCCCTCCCTTCCTCCTCCCTCCTTCCTCCGGTTCCTGCTCGCGCCCGTCGCCCCCGCCGTGCGCTCCCCTCCGCCGGGCGGCCCCCCCCTCCCCACCTTTCCTTTTTTTTTTTTTGTTTTCTTCCTGCGGCCTCCCCCCCTTCCCGCCGCCCGCCCTCCTTTGCCCCCCGCCTCTTCCCCCTCGTCCTCCTTCTCCCCGTCTCCCTCCCTCTGCCCATCTTCTCTGCCCTTCCCGCCCTCGGCCGCGCTTCTTCTCGCGCCTGATCCCCCCTGTTCGCCTCCACTCCCCCTGCCTCCTCTTCTCTGTGCTCCTCGCCGCCTCCCCTCCCGCCCTCGTTCTTCTCCGGTTGCGCGCTCCGGCCTGCTGCCGCGCTGCCTGCTTTGTCTCTCCTCCCCGCTCTCTCTCGCTGGTGTCTGCGGTCTGTCCTCTGCGCCGTGCGCGGCCTCGTGCCCTTCTCTCCCCCCTGGCCCTCCTTGTGGTTGCTTGTCTTTCGGTCTCACTCCCCCCTCCCCCGCCTCCTCCTCCTCCTGGTCGTCTCGTTCTTCGGTTCTTCGTGTTGCCCCCCTCTCTCCCTACTGCCTCTTCTCCTCCCTTCTCCTCCTGTTCATCCTCATCGTCCCAGGCTCCCGTTCCCCCCTCCCTCTGCGTGTTTCTGCTTCACCCTCCCCAGCCTTGTCATCCCGCTGGCTTCTCCCTCCCTGCCCCGCCCCCTTCTTGGGTCTCCCCCTTTCTGGGCCCCCCTCCCCCGCCGCGACTGGCCCCGCTCCCGCCTTTGGCGCTGCCCCCTGGCCAGCGTTCCGCAGGCGGTATCGCCACTGCTTTTACGGCCGGGCCGCGCCGCTGGGCGCGGCCCTGGCGGTGCGTGTGTCCGGGCCTCGTGGGCGCTGCCCTCGGCGGGTCGTGTGCTGCTCCTCTCTCGGCGGTGTGTTGCCACGGACGTGGCGTCGGTCCGTTCTCACCGTCCTGCGGACCCTCCTCCGCACCGCCCTGCCTTGCCATCCTTCACCTCTTGCCTCCGGACCGGCCGCTTTTCAGCCCTCCCTCCCCGCCTATTTCCCCCCGCTTGCCGGCCGGACCTTTCCCCTTGGACCCAGCACTTGTCGAGTCGGAGTGGTTCCCAGTTGTCCGCCCTATCCCAGTCCAGGCTCTTGGTGGCCCCTCCTCCTACCCCGCGCGGGCCCCTTGCTAGGAACTTCACTCCTCCTTCACGTCGTCCTCCCCATGACTCCCCGTCATTCCTTCCTGCTCTTTAGCCTTGCCGTTCCCTCCCCCCGCCGGGCCCTCTCTTTGGTCCCGCCACGCTCCCCCTGTTTTTCGTGCCTCCCGCGTTCCTCTTTCCCCCCCGCCGGTCGTCCCGAGTCCCCTTTGCCCCTCCCTTG